ATAAACTCTAGACATTCATCTTTAGAGTTTACGTGTAGATAATCAAATGAGATCTAAACCTTAAACAGTCATCTATCAACACTAACACAGAACTTACCTCTAAATCAGTGGGTTTTATAGAAGCTGGGGCTGATATGCCTTATCTAAGTTCTACTTAATTGTGGAGGTCCCCATAACCTGGCCCCACTCTACTTTCACCCAAAAACCAAACCTGTAGCCGTCGAGTCAGTTCCGACTCATAACGACACTGTAGGACAGAGTAGAACTTCCCCCAAAGAATTTCCAAGGCTGTAATCTTTATAGAAGCAGATTGCCTCATCTTTCTCCCATGGAGCAGCTGGTAGGTTTGAACGGCTGACTTTACAGTTAGCAGCCAAGCGCTTAACCAGTGTGCCACCAGAGCTCCTTCCCATTTTGCTTACCCACTTTTATTTCTGACTACTTAAAACAACAACAAATAACCTTCGTCCAGTTAGGCTACTTCACACACCATCCTGCAAGACCCAGCTCAAGTTACACATCCTTTAGGAAGAACTATCTTCCCCAAGCCTCATAGGCCTCTCTTTTCTCTAAATGGTGGTTCCACATCATCAACTTTCATCTACCATTTTTAATTGTCTACATCAAAGAGTGTAGTGACTCTCCTCCATCCTCCAAAATATGCACACACTTTTCCCAGCTTCTCAGGCCTAATCGTGGTTGTGTTGAGAGGGGAGGTAAAATAAAAGATGGCAGGCTCCTTCTAGTATCTCCCACTGCCACTGCTCAGCCCCAATAGCTACTTTTCTCTCTATTCAATTCCCTCTTTACCTCACTACCACCCCTTTCTCATGTTCACTTTAAGGACCATCTACACCTTCACCCTTGGGTTCAAGGCCTTGGAGAATCTAAATCTGATTTTCTTTTGAAATGTAATCTAAGAATGTGGCAGGGTTTGTTCTTTCAGCCCCTCAAGGTATGGGAAGGAGGGGATATTGCTACCCTATGGAGGCATTAAAATCTCTTATTTGGGTGGGGGGCTCATATACTAGTCTGTAGGCCTCTCCACCAAGTAATTCATGAGGCTAAGGGATGGGACCCCTCAGCCTATCTTAAATACAGCCCTAAGATGAGCTTGAAAATAACCAGGGAGTAGAGGTTGTGCTTCCTTCCGAGGGCTGCCAAGCCTCTTTGCTGGATGGAAATATATTAAACTCTGGTGGAGCTTTAAACTGTACTTTGTTCTCTCATTAAAGAGTTGGGTAAGTATTCCAAAGCAGAATCGAGTGGAATGAGGAATTGTGATCTTATCTAATTTTTCATGTGTGTAAGTGTGTGTGTGTATGTGTGTGTGTGTGTGTGTGTGTGTCTGTGAGTATTCCTAGGTGTGTACTGGGGCAAGGGGATGGAAGGAGGGCTTCATAGTCTGGTACTGCCGTTCTTCAAGTAAACCTTCCCTTGGGAAACTCAATCCATCCCCCATTCTACCCATCCACCCGCTCGCATGTGAAAGGTTCCACCAGCTGTTCTTAGTCCACCATCTTTGGCAAGATGACAATGAAAGTTTTCTTCCAGCCTGGATCTGCTAGCCATAGAGTAGAGGCAAAGGGCATGGGGTCACTGAGTTAAGGTTAGGACAGATGCTGCTGCAGCTAATCTCTTTTCAAATTACCCGTGAGCAAACTGAGCTCAACACGGAGACTACTACTTTTTTCTAAAGAAAATTAGTCTAGTTTCACATTAGAAAACCATATTTCTCCCATTAACATGACTCTGACTATTGTTGTTAGGTGTCATCGAGTTGGTTCTGACCTCATATACAACAGAATGAAATGTTGCCCAGTCCTGTGCTATCGTCGCAATCACTGCTATGTTTGATCCCATTGCTGTAGCCACTGTGTCAATCCATCTCATTGAGGGTCTTCCTCTTTTTCACCAACCCTCTACTTTACCAAGCATGATGTCCTTATAGTTCTTACTTGATAATAGCCATGGCATATTTGAGTCCTTTCTGAATTAGCTTTTCTTAAAATGGCCATCATATTTGTTGAGAATACCTCTAAGACATTTGGAACAGATGGTTATGGTGCCCCTCCCAAATAGAATCTTTGTTCCACAACTTTCTCCCCTTATGAAGAGGGGTTTTGGCTCATCCCTACACATTTTATTTCAGGACTTTCTGCAGGCAAATCTTACCACATCATAGCATTAGAAAGTCACTTCTAAATCATTTGAGTTAACCCTTCCCATTTTACAGATGAGGAAGCTGAGGCCCCAAGAGATGAAGTAGCTGACTAATACATTAGCATTTTTGGTCATTAGTGATTCACATTTAATAATTACCTCCTTCCCCTCTCCCCTTACCAACTAAACTGTTAATTCCTTGAGGGCAAGGGTTATCATGTCTTGTGCATTTCTGTATCCACAGCAACACCTACTAGACTCCTCTTATTTTCCATACAGGATCAAGACCGGGTCTGGGCACACACTGTATGCTAAGAAAAGGATGTTTGGATTGAACTGAACCCTTACAGAACGTGGACTCTTGAGAGGCACTGAGTTTGGCTTCTGGGCGAATACCAGCCTCGGGTTGGACCACTTAGCAGTGAATAGCAATGGGCCAAAAGAGACATGCCACGTATGTAATCTTGTTTGCCCAACTAAGTTATAAATACCATCTTGTACTCACTTCTTTTGTAGCCCATAGCGCTTTGAACAGTGCCAGTCACAATGTAAACCCTCATTAAATATGTTTTGATTGACTGACAATCCCCAAATCAGAAGGCAGATCTTTGTCTGTGTTTCATGCCACTAGGGTAGCTTTAGCAAGAGGAAAGCATCAGGCTGCCCAAGATGGGCACTGCTGGGCTGAGAGCACTTTTCATGTAGCTCTGTGCCTTACCTTGGCCTTGAAGAGAGTATCTGAGATCCTGTGCTGTCTTTTAGATACCAAGAATCATTCTGAAAAGTGTTACAATAGAGATTATATTATTATTAGATAACATGGAGATCAAAACCAAAACCCATTGCCGTTGAGTCAATTCCAACTCATAGCAACCCTATAGGACAGAGTAGAACTGCCCCGTAGGATTTCTAAGGAGCAGCTGGTGGATTTGAACTGCTGACCTTTTGGTTAGCAGCCATAGCTCTTAACCACTGTGCCACCAGCGCTTCAATAAGATGATAGGACACATCAAAAGGGAGCAAACTTTAAGATGTTAAGTTCGGATGGATTTATTTTGGACTACCCACAATGTTTCCCCTGATCCCCTTGTGGCCATTTTTAAGACCTCTAGCCTAAGTTAATGGTGCAGGTGGTAGCCAGGCCACAGATGGAAGCTGGCCATCCCTGGATGGGATTTGATTCTGGATTTGGGATCACTTGCACCATGCTATAGCTAATTGACTACCAACTACACGGCTTGCTATTTCTACTTTCCTTACTTTTGTCCTTACTCTACCACTCTCATTTTTAAAGGAGAGGGGTCTAGTTCAAGTAGTTGTAGAATCCAATTTCATTTGCAGTTAGTCTAACCTTCAAAATGGAACCATCTCTAGGTAGGAAGCAGGCTATTTAAATCATCAACCCAGTCTTACTGATGAACATCTTTCACTATGTTCAGGCAGTAAATGGGTTTCTTAAGAATCAGTAAATCAAAAATACTTTATTGTTAAATATTGTGACTTCTGCCCCTCCCTCTCTTTTTTCTCCAAAGGGAACTGGTATTTAGGTGGGGGATGGCAAAGTAAGTGGAAGAGCTGAATAGGAGAATATTTGCCACTGAGATTATTTTTAATACTCTAGTTCTAGGAAGAGAAACTTGGATGTGGTTAGGAAGATAAGGGAGCCAGTAGTACAAGCATAGTCAATAAGATCTGGAAATTTAGTTGTGACATTCCATCTCACAGAGAGCTGTTGTTGTTAGGTGCTGTAGAGTAGATTTTTAACTGATAATGACCCCATGTGACAGAGTAGAACTGCCCCATAGGGCAATTAGGAAGATGTGGTTAGGGCAGTTAGTTCGATGTGGTTAAGAAGATAAGGAAGCCATTAATACAAGCATGGTCAGCAAGATTTGAAAATTTAGTTTGAAGTTCCAACTCACAGATAGCTGTTGTTGTTAGGTGCTGTTGAGTCATTTTTGACTCAAAATAACCCTGTGTGACAGAGTAGAACTGCCCTCATAGGGCTTTCTAGACTGTAATCTTTTACAGGAGCAGATTGCCAGGTCTTTCTTAGGCCTCTCCCCTTTGGAGTCACACACACACACGAACTGCCAACCTTTCTGTTAGCAGCCAAGAGCTTAACCGTTTTGCCACCAGGGCTCCTTCCTGAAGATCCAGGACTAATGATTGGTGAAGGCGGGACCATTTCCATGTGTAAGAAGAGTAGTCAGATAAGCATTCAAAACAGAAGGTGGTCTTTAAGGATCTTATGAGGGTCCAGCTGCCCAAAAGGATTTCCTTAAGCAGTCTACTAAAGCACTTCCTTGAGTGATCTGAAAGCCCTATTTTAGAAGAAATCAATTCATCAGATGTCCTCATGTCTCCAAAAGGCCCCATGTGTTCAGCTGAGATTTTCCTCTAGCATGCAGGTTGGATGAGGCCTAGTCTTTACTACCCCTATGTATTCAATTAGTGATCACCTAAATTGGATTCTTCTAAAGCAAGCTTCCAAACTTTACTGGGGAAATGGGGTGGTGTGAGAACATGCAGAAGACCAGGCCTCTTAGTCAGAAGATGCAACCAGGGGCAGATCATCCAACAGGCAAGGTAAGCATGGTGCATACTTTGCTTACCAGATCATCTGTAGTGAACAATTTCACATTTTTTCACCACATGAAAGATTCTGCCTCTAGGTATGGCTGGTATCTGTCTCTCTCCCAATCCCACAGCACCTTCGTACAGAATCTAAGCTTCTTTTCAAATTTACAATCCCTGACAGGGATGGATTACCCAGTAAGCAAGGTAAGCACAGGCTTACTTGTGCTTACTTACTGATCTGTAGTGACCAGTTTCACATGGGTTTGACTGATGTGGTGAAACTAGTCACTGAAGATCAGTAAGTAAGCACAAGTAAGCCTGTGCTTACCTTGCTTACTGGGTAATGCGCCCTTGGAGGCAACTGACTGATCTACCTCTTTTTCAGGTTTTCTGACAGCAAATCAAAGCCTTCAGGAGTAAAACCAGTTAAACTTGAGAAAGGGATAATTGTCGATGATGAAGAGGTAAGGAAGAACATTAGCAAATGCTTGTTTGTATTTCTTTGGAGATGCTTAGAGTATTTCATAAGCTGGGTCTCACAAACTACTTCCTACTGGAGCAAAAAGGGGGTCAAGATTTATATATAGAACAAAGCTAATTTATCTGATTTTATGAAAGGGAAACAGAGAAATACAGAAAAGACAGTAATATACCCGCAACAAATCATGGCACAAAATGGAGGAACCAAAAACCTATCTTAGGGCTCAGAGAGTGTTAAGCCTCAACTCACATAGACTTTGCTACCACCTCTTGCAGCAAAATTCTATTGGGTACCTTAGTTGCTTTCCTAGGTTTATCATATTCATATGGGCTTTCCAGACCAACTTCTATTTTATCAGCTAGAGATAATATAATTCAACATACCAAAACTGAAAACATATTCCAATTTGGACAGTCTTGTGGGAGACTAATTTGGAACAGAGGTGCAATACCCCAGGAAATTTAGGAGTAAAAGCATTTTCCCCAAGATCTTTCCCCATTAAAAATAATTTTTTTTAAGGAAAATCTATAAAAGAAAAATGCTTCATAGCTTTTTCCCCAAGTAAATTTTTCCTAGACTTCTATGATTCTAAATATATCACACATGTCATATTTGTGAAGCAAGTTATTCATAATATATTTTTGTTTTTAACAAATAGACCTCAGATACTAAAAGGTGCTAAAAATCAAATGATTGTATCCTTGGATTGGTCCCGTGTTTCACCCCATCCTCCCTACAGGAATGTATGGAGGGGCTTTGCTATTTTACCTCCTTGTCCTCTCCCAAGCCCCAAGGATTACCAATTCCTGACATTTTCCTTCTGGAGCTAACACCCCACATCGTTCTGTCCCATTCTTACTACTCCCATCTTCTTCCGTCTTACGACTCCCATATTCCCCCTTTCACTGCATGTTCCTTGTCCTCTGCACCCCATCTTGTCGTGCAGGTCACCATACCACCTTCTTGGAGGCAGGGCGATCTTCAGAACGATGTTCCTAAGATAGGATGTGCTGCCCTCCTCTGTTCTGATTTCTGATTATGCCAAGGCCAAAGAACGTGATTCTGAACTTTGATCTCCTTGTATTCTAGCCCTTTGACTCATCCGCTAGATAACCTAGGGCTGAGCAAGAGAATAGGCAACAACACTGGGGGGCAGCAGGAGGGAGATGGAACAGGCTCAGCGCCCCTGGCACCAGATATGACCCTCCAACAATCCACCGGTAACCAACATGCAAAGTGGTAGACAAAAGCGCAACCAAAATTCCATTTTTGTAACATTTCTGAAAAAAATCATATACTGCAGAGCTGTCCAAACATGCAAAACGCACTGTTACATTTTTCTCCCAGGTCACCTCACCGAGTTGTCTCGAGGGCAACCTTCCACTCACAACCCTTAGACTATTGCCCTTTTGTAGCTTGCTTTCTCCTTAAAGGATGTCTTCCATGTTCGATTTTAACCTGATGTCACTGCTATTGAAATGGAAAAGGAAGAAGAAAGGGGTGTTACCCCTTGGAGCGATCTATACCAGTCTAAACTTTGATGCTGCCCTGGTCTACTTCACCCCCATCTGACATTTCTTGAGGCTGTTCCGTGTTTCAGTTTACACATTTCCCTGGGGAGGGTGGCTCAGAGCCCAGTCCTGCTTGCTGTGGCCCTTGTTCCAGAAACCCAGAGTGCAAAACATGAAGCCCTGGGTTCTCCTCACTCAACTTAAGCCAGAGACTAGTTTTTAGTGAGATAAGGAACAGAATACTGTTGAGGATAGGTGGACTTGAAACCACTAATTCCGATTATTGTCTCTAGATTTCTGAGGAAGCTGAGCAATCAATATTTGTTCTAGAGAACCTTCGGCATTACAGTGTCCATCCAAATTTGGTAGGTGGAAAAGCATTTCCCCATGATAGCTCCAAGAGCAAGCTTCAGCAGCGGTGCAGAGGTCCACTTCAGGGTATCCCAAGTGTCCCCAGGCTTCTGTGACTGTGCCTACTCCAGGGACGGGAGGCACAGCTGCTGCTAGGGCACTGTCCCAGAGGCAGTGCTGGGAACAGTGGTGCTAAGATGGGAGGGGAAACTGGGAAGAAGGTGGTCCCTGCAGCTGATACTGAAAAAATAAAAGTTGAGAAAAAAGTCTCTATAATTGGGAGCTATTCCATTCTCTCCCTTCCTAACCCTCTGCCTTCCTCCTATTGACAGAAAAGCAAAATTCAGTGGGACTGCCCCTTCCCCGCCCCCTGCCTTAAGTGTCAGGCTGTCCTCTGTGACTACTTTGCCTTTTTAAGGTTGTGCTTATTATTCATGTTAATGTGGTTGTGTAGGCATCTTGGTGGGTGGGAGGCTGTAAGTAAGGCTTGCACTGGCCCCAAAGAACTCCCTCAGTAAGGACATTTGATCCCTGGTGGTTTTCCCCTCTGCCTCAGAGAGAGTTGTAGAGAAGGCCTCATTTAGGCCATCTAGAAACTTCTGACACTTCTGTTTGTCACGCTGTGTTGGGTGCTATGTTACACTTTTTCAGACGAATTAAGTCATTTTGTTCCTTTTATTCTGGAAACACATCCATCTCATTTCCTTAGTCCCTTAGTCTACTTGCAAGGACTGCTCTGAGGGAGGAGCCCTGGTGGCACAGTGGTTAAGAGCTCAGCCTGCTAACCAAAGGTCGGCAGTTTGCATCTGCCAGCTGCTTCTTGGAAATCCCACGGGGGCAGTTCTACTCTGTCCTATAGGGTTGCTATGAGTTGGAATTGACTTGACGGCAGTGGGTTTGGTTTGGAGTTTTGTCTCTGAGGGAAGAGAGGGACAGAGAGCTTCAAATGTCTTTGCATAAATAAATTTCAGAGCAAATTTGTTCAGCCTGTCCTTTGTCCCTATCCCACAGGGACAAAAGATTAGCCAACTGATGTGTTAGCCTTCTTCTCTTAACTGAATCCTTTGTCTCTCTGGAAATCTTTTGTCTGCTTAGGCCAAGTTCTATGAGCCTTCAAAGCCTACGGCCCTACACAAATTCCTGGAACGAAACAAAAGAATAAAGAGCTTCATGTTAAAAGTAACAGAGTATGATCAGGATAAGACCTTACTGATCATGACAAACAACCCACCTCCCACCTCAATCAACTTGCAAGGAAAGGACGTTGCCCCAAAATACTTTTCCAAGGAGTTCCTGAGCAAGGTAAAGACACCTGTGGAAGTTTGCTGGCACCGTAAGTACAGACCTTGAAGAGTAAGCTTGGAAAAGGGAGCGAACTTAACACAGAGAATGGTATTCACTGTTTTAGTTCTCAGCCATATGCTCCACAAAACCGAATCCGGACAGCCTGGGAAGGACCCAGAATCAGAGTTCTATAAACTGGGGTCATGAAGCTTTATTGCAGGTAGAAAATGGGGTCTTAATTGGACACTGCTCCTCTTAGGGTGAAGATATTTAGTTTGTAATGGACAAAGAGTAAACTGACTTCTAGTTGAGAACGAAGTAGTAGACGATGAATCAGGAAATAGAAATCGGAAACTGAAACGAGTATCTAAAGGGAAAGGGAGTAAAGAATGCAAATTGCTCATGGGTGTCAGGAGAAGGAGAGAGCAGCAGAGCTGGGAATTTACTATCCCAATAGCCAGACATTCAGGACTCTGTTATAGGCTAAAGAAATTCCAATTCCACTCAGTAAAGAATTACTGAGCATACACTAAGCTAGGAACCAAAATATAAAGATTACGGGACAGTTTCTATTTTGAAAGGACAAATGCCAGGCCAACATTCCAAAACCAAAAAAAAAAACCCATTGCCAGAAACAGCCCTAGTGGTGCAGTGGTTAAAGCGCTCAGCTGCTAACAGAAAGGTCAGTGGTTCCAACCCACCAGCTGCTCTGTGGGAGAAAGATGTGGCAGGCTGCTTCCGTAAAGATTTACAGCCTTGGAAACCCTATGGGATAGTTCTACTCTGTCCTTACAGGCTTGCTACGAGGCCAGCATTACCCTGCTCAAAGTAGGGAAAACATATATAATACGAGTCTAATAGGAGAGACATATATAAATGAGACATACAAAAATAATTATAATACACCAGGATATATGAATAATAGAAGAACATATGAGATACAGAAGTAACAGAGAGCAGTGTTTCTGTTGGTAGAAAAGGGGTAATCAGGGAAGACTTTCCAGAGGAGGTGACACCTGATAAAGAATAGGAGACTATTCTAATCACAGGGAAACACAATGGCATGGAGACATATGAAAGTGAGGTGCATTTAGGGAGATGTAAAAGAGCAAACAACAGGAGATAAAAGGGTATTATCCAAGTTGCATTTTAGAAAGACCATTTTGGAGGATGGGTGGAAGGTGCATTCATTGCGAAAAAGGCAAAAATCAGAAATATTTGTTATGAAGTTAATACAATAGTTAAGGTGAGAGATACTAAATCTAGTTGCAGAAGAAATAAAGAAATGTTATTTAAGAGATATTTAGCAATCAGGATCCCCAAAAGATCTTGACAGCCTTGAAAGGGGGCTTAATCAAACAAGAAGAAATTAAATGATTTAAGTGAAAGTGCAAACAAAAAGAATCTAATTATAATAGAAATTTGATGTTGGGAACAGGATTACACAAGACAGACCCTTAAAATAAAATGTGGATCCTTATAAAACAACTTGGAGTAAGTTTTTGCTTAGTTTCTAGATGGAAGGCAGTGAGAGATTACTTTCTAAATTGAAGATAAAATGCTAATGTCCAATGGTACATGCTGGCAATAAAAAACAAAAAAAATTGTTGCCGCTGAGTCGATCCTGACTCATGGTAACCCTATAAGGCAGGGTGGATCTGTCCAGAGGGTTTCCAAGGCTGTAATCTTTACCGAAGCAGACGGCCACATCTTTCTCCAGAGGAGTAGCTGGTGGATTTGAACCGCCGACATTCCAGTTAGCAGCCAAACACTTAACCACTGTGTCACCAGGGCTTCTTATGCTGACAATAGAATTAATTAAGTGCCTATTGTCTCTTGGGTCTCATAATTTGAGCCCTTTGGAGGTAAGCTTTTAGGATACTGCCATAGAGTAATTTTAATGGAATGAGGAATACATGAACAATGGGGCTCAGGGGTTGCTTCTCATGGTGGTGGGCAATATACACTGAGAAAGGGACAAATGACAGGCCAGGGTTACCCTGCTCAAGGTAGAGAAGGACATACAAAGCGATCATGTAAACTTGATGCAGGAAATACTTTCTTCCAACAGCTGGTACTTGGTGAACCCTCCAGATTGGGGCAGGATCTGACTGTTTTCATTAGCAAAAGTGGGGTATTAGCCAAATAATTGTATGAATGGACAGAGCTAAGGCTCTGATTGTCAAAGACTAGCACCATGATAATTTTATGGGGCTATCTGGAAAAACTTGGTGGTGTAGTGGTTAAGAGCTATGGCTGCTAACCAAAAGGTCAGCAGTTTGAATCCACCAGGTGCTCCTCGGAAACTCTATGGGTTAGTTCTCCTCTGTCCTATAGGGTTGCTATAAGTGGGAATTGACCTGACTGCAGGGGGTTTAGTTTTTTTTTTTTTTTTTTTTAATCTGGAATAAGAATGAGCCCAAGAAGATAGAAATGCCCAATGTCTACAATGCCTCTTTAATATTTATACTTTATCCCCTCGTTCCCTTGCTGGACAAATGGGATAATCTCTCATGAGCCTAGGAGCATGTACAAGAAAACGTCCTCATATAGATGCCTACGCGTAGGCATGTATAAGAGTGCATCCTAGCAGGCGAGTTGTGGAATGTATCAGACATGACTACCAGTGTTTGTTATAGTGAAGGTCAGACTTGATGACATTTCACATCCTTTCTGGAAGTCTTTGATTCCATAACCTTTAATAATGATGAAATTATCACCTCACAAAATATCCTATTCCATAGGCTTCCACTGCAGGCAGAGTGGCACGTGGCCGAGGCAGCCATCTCTGGGGAAAGAAGGTAGTGTCCTATGGGTCCATTTCCCAATTTACCAAAGTTTGAGTTTCCCAAGCAGTTCGCTTATTGAATCTTTCTCCAAAATGGGTGCCTTTCTCTGTCATTCATTTCAAAGGGCCAATGGACAAGCTCAGTCAACTACTTAGGAAACCAACCAAACTTTGGACAAGTCACGTGGCAATGAGACAGAGAGGTATTAGCCCGCTCAGGGCAATGCCTCCTCTTGTTCTGGGTTCTGAGTTCCCATTTCCTTACCTGACGGGTTTCGTTGCATCATTTTAGAGTTGGAACTTAGCCCAGGCATTTAGGCCAGGCTTTATGTCCCAAGGAACTCCATTTACCCTCACTTCTTCCCTCTGTTGCAGGAAAGTCAGCAGCAGCACAAACCGACTGAAAACTTCTGCCTGCCCCTGATGCCTCAGAAAAAAAAGCCCAGACCTCAGCTGAAACCAGTCTTTCCTGTGACTCTGTTGGATGACCCTGCATCCAGGCGAGAGCAATGGTTTAGGTGAAGCTCTGGCTCTTCTTGTACTCATTTTCTTTCCTATTTTTCATCATTCATCTTACTATCTCTTTTCAATACAATTTGACAAACACTTCAGGATTGTACGTTATACGTACAATTGCATAGCAATAAGACACAGCTTTCTTACATGACCCCCAATCTCATTTACACTGTAATGAAAGAGAAACAGTAATGAAGGCAGAGCATGTTCAGAGCTACTGTTTGGGAACAATGTGTTATGAGAACACAAAGCAAAGAGATTTTATTTGAAACTAGATTATAAGAGCAGTCTATGTCTAGTTTGGAAACACTGGTGGCGTAGTGGTTAAGAGCTATGGTTGCTAACCAAAAGGTTGGCAGTTCAAATCTACCAGGTGCTCCTGAGAAACTCTATGGGGCAGTTCTACTCTGTCCTATACGGTCACTACGAGTCGGAATCGACTTGACGGCAATGGGTTTTTTTCTATATCTAGTTAGGAGAGGAGAGAGGAGATTCTGAAGTTCTCCAAAGGTTTTACAGTGGGAGGTTCTAGAAGCATCCTTTGCCACTGAACAATACTCCCACTTTGTACCAATCAACACCCTCTAATCATTGTCCATTCTTCTCTCAGAGTCTCTGAGAATGTAGCTTACTTTCAAATGACTGGTTCCTTTAACCCCGTGCCCTAGGATATACTAAATAAACTTTCTTTGTTAAGGTTTTCCACTGACAGTGATTTCAAGAGTGAAGGGAAGTATTCAAAGGTCTATTCTTTGAGGAAACAGAGAAAAATGTACCCTCAGCTCACCTTTTCTCCAACTGGTAAAAGAGATATGGGGAAAGATGGTAAGCCCTTTTCTTTCAAAGCAATGGTTTATTGGACTGAGATATTGGCTGGAGGTAGAACCTCTGGGGACTGGAGATATTGGTAAATCAGTATTTCTCATAGTAGTCCTAAAGAGTATTTTTCCTTGTAGCATAGAAGCTAGGAACTTATTGAAGTGTTAGGTTTTGGGCCCTGCTTATAGCCTTACATTTCAAGAAAGCTCTAGAATAGTATTCCCAAACACCACCACCTACCTTTCTAATAGTTTTTACCATGTCAGTATATTATTTGTCTTTTTACTTAGTATTTTTCTTAAAAAGATTTTTTTGAGTCTTGTCCTAATTAATACTGTATCTTTGACATCATGGGTTTGATATACTAACTATATATTTTTCTGAAACACATTAAATCAAACTCATAATAATTACATTTTAAAATGTTTATCTATGTACCACCTAAAACTATCCATGGTATGCTTAACACACTTTGGGGAAAACTGGTCTGGAAGGCCAAAGGGTAAGTCTGTGAGTCTCAGAGGTCCTCAGGCCTCTTTGGAACTGGGGTAGGGCATGGGGCAGAAGGGGTTTGGGATAAGACTGCATGCAAGAGGGTGCAATGAGAATGTTCCTCACATATCATTCATTTAAAAATATTTATGGGGTACCTACTAAATGTTGAACACTTATCAAGCACCAATAATAGCACTTTCAATATGTAAGATAGATGAACCAGATCATGAAGCCCTTTCTATAGTACACAAATAAGAGCTTGGGTTTTATCCACTAGGCTGTTTGGGTCAACAGTTCGAATCTACCAGCCACTCCTTGTAAACCCTATGGGGGCAGTTCTACTCTGTCCTATAGGGTTGCTATGAGTCTGAATCAACTCGACGGCAACGGGTTTGGTTTTGGTTTTATTTGGACCTATATTAGGACAGTGAATATACATTTGTGTATTATAATTCATGAGCTCTCAGGCTTCACCAGCTGATGGCTTCAAGATAAAGTCCATTTCTCCTACTGGGTTTCTCTCCTTAAGCAATTTTTGAGACTCCCTAAGAGCTCAGCTGCTAACCAAAAGGTCGGCAGTGGAAACTCTATGGGGCAGTTCTAATCTGTCCTATAGGGTTGCTATGAGTTGGTACCAACTCGACAGCAACAGGTTTGGTTTTTATTTTTTTAAGGTACATTTAGGAACCCTGGTAGTGCAATGATTAAGAATTTGGCTGCTAACCAAAGAGATCGGCAGGACAAGTCCACCAGCTGCTCCTTGGAAACCCTATAGGGCAATTCTACTCTGTCCTATAGGGTCGGACTTGTGGCAATTTTTTTTTTTTTTTTTTTAAATGTACATTTACCTGTTCTACAGTTATCCTAGTGATTGATTACCTAACACCTTTGCCAGCCATCCTCAGCCCAACAGCCCCAGAGGTTTGAGGTTATACTGTACCATCCTTTAATGGTTTCTTCAGCCCTCTCTGCTCTTATTTACCAACCCGCGCCACCCCACCCACTGCCTGTTTTAACTCCCACATATACAGCTAAAACCGAGCTGTGATGGTAAACAAAACTTCACGGGTATGGAGAAAAGCTAAAGAACAGCAGAGAGTGTTATCTTGCTTTAAAAGAGGCTACTTACTCACGGCTCAGCCTCAAACCCAGCCTCAGTTCCTCTACACTTCCCATCAGGCCTCTAGCACATTACTCATTCTTGGGAATCTCCTGTCCTATCTACCTGTCTCTGCCTAGGCTCCTAATACCCTTGGCCCAAGAAAAGGAAAAGGTTCTCCCTCCTTCGCCTAAACCTGTTTCTTTTCAGCCCCAGTAAAAATGATGAGAACATCTATTTCCTTCAAGAGAAAGTCCACCCAGGAAGTATGGTTTGAACTTTATAAGCCAGATAAGGCAAACATAATAGTTGAGAGTCCATTTAGTAAAGTTAGAGTTAAATCTTAAGTGATACCGTATGTAAGGATATCAACAGTGCAGCTTAAATTCATATGTAAGGGCAGAGTTTGTCTAATTTTGCAAGGGCAGGATTCTTGTTAAGGATACAGCCAATTTACATTTCTAAACATATTTCTTAGTATCTTGATCTGCAGCATCTATTAGAGTTATGGTGACTTCATATTTTCCCTCAAGGGAAATGAGTGGCTACTTGCTTTACGTATGTGTCTAAAGCGCCCATCCTGATGCTTTTCCTAAACAAGGACAATCTGCTGTGAAGTTGAATCAATGTCTCCACTTGTGGCAAAGGAGAAGGCTAGCAGTCTCCCTCCCTCCAGTAATGTTCCATGTTTACCAGGCATCCAAAGAAAGAAAGATCATAGAGAATGGTTTGAATGGGGGCCAGGAAGTCAGCTGTCAAAGAGACAGCTGATGAGGACCTGAGCTAAGGTGTCAGCAGTAGAGATAAAGGAACAAATTCAAGGGATATCTGCCAGGTATACCCAGAAACCAAAACAGCTTCTGTTGAATCGATTCTGACCCCGTGTGTGTCCTAGCAGAACTGTGCTCCATAGGGTTTTCAATGGTTGATTTTTTGGAAGTAGATCACCAGGCCTTTCTTCGAAGGCACTTCTGGGTAGACTCAAACCTCCAAGCTTCGGGTTGGCAGTTGAGCGCTTAAGCGTTTGTGCCACCCAGGGAGGTTTTACAAGGTATAATGCATCAGAAAGGTGAGGAAGGATTGAAGGAAGAAGAATCCACAATGGAAGCTTGAAAGAACAGAACAGGGGTTGAAGGAGAGTATGGACAAAGTGCTGTCACTGAAGCCAAAGGTAGAAAAAGTTTCTTAGTTACACTCTCTGACAAAGGAACTGACAAGCAACATACGCATTAGGAAATGACTAAGAGGAACGTGAATATACAAGTGCATGCAAGTTAGCCTAGTAAGAGTTATGTAAGAGTCAGTGTGGTTAAAGATGGAAAAACTGAGAAAGGGTGGAATTAAACATGGAGACTCTAAACCGGTGGTGTGTTTTAAACTGGTTTTCGACGAAGGCAAGGAAGCCAGAATGACAACGAAGGTTGGGAAGGGTAGTCCGCGGCCCAAAATCTACCCTCTTGGTTAAAGACCAGCTTTCCGGTCGGTCCCGCCAGGTGGATCTCGGTCATGCTTTGCATTAAGGGCCCTTGTAGAATCCACATTCACCTCAACGTGCTCTGTGCTTTGTTGCAGCTTCCAAGAAGTCAGCGAGTACAGTGCCGACTTACAAGGCGATCTGGGAACCACTCACCCTGTCATCGCTCCTGGAAGAGAAGCCCACCAGAACTGTGCCCGGAGAGAGCGCCTTCCGCAACGGAAGGGCCCAGCAGTGGATCATAAATAATGCCACTGTCATTAAGTGAACACAAACCCTCCAGGCCTCCCGCCTCGGTCTCCAGAGACTGAGGGGCCTGCAGACGTCGCCATGTAGGGCGTGCCAACCAAATAAAATCGCATTCCTGCTTGCTCCGGGCGTGGGCTGCCCGGTCGCTGGCCGGGGGGCCGGCGAACCCCTCGCTCGGACCTGTCACCGCCCAGGCCCCGCCCCTCCCCTCGCACCGCCCACGCCGGCTTGGGGAGGAGGAGGGGGCGTGGCTGCGGCCCGCAGAGGGCGAGAGGGAAGGCCCGCAACCGGGGGCGGGCCTTCTTCCCGAGTGACGGGTCGACCGCCCAACCGGCGGGAGCCCCCGGGGCCGGCCTTCCTGCAGCCTTTTCCGCTCGCCGGCTGCGGCGCCTGGGACGGTTGCGGTGGGTCTGGGCGTTGGGAAGTGGTCCAAGATGATTAAAAAATTCGACAAGAAGGACGAGGAGTCTGGTACGCGCTGGGCCGCTCACGCCCACTCTCGGCCGCGGGGGCCCCTTCCTCCGCCGCTCGCACCTGCTCCGGGCACGGCGGCGCCGGGAGCGTGGGCGCCGATGTGCGCGCGACCCATCCCCTCGCTCCCGCTGGGGTCCTCCTGTGGCCCCTCCTCCGGCCCGGAGCCTCCCCTCTCCCGGCCCCGCGCAGCCTC